CCCCCCTCCAAACTCGTGAATTCTATGAAGTATTATGAATGTTATCATGCACGCACTATTATCCATTTATTCAAATACAAGGATACCTTAACTTTAACTTTTTTAAAACTCTTAAATAATAAAAATAAATATTTCAAATCTAACCAAAAAAGAATAAACATAAGATACATGTTGTTTAGTGATATATAAAAATCCTGTCTCCTCACTGATATAAAAGATATTTCATGCCAATCGATAAAGCCATTTTGGATAAATGAAATACATTTGTTAGAAACTAGAATTTAATTTTAGAATTTTCTGGTGATTTGAATGCCGTGTGTAAACTTTTGAAGAGGGATGAATACAAATTATTATGTCGTGTTCATATCATTCAGAGTTCAGACAGATAGAGAGATAGATAGATAGACAGATAAACAGATGATAGCATAATTGAAGAGATTTTTACGCTTTTACTTGTATCTATCTGTAGTGGGAACCATAAAATGTCTTAACTGGTTCGTTGTACAGTGTAAACTGCAATACAGTTGTACAGCGTAAACTACAATACAGTTGTACAGTGTAAACTGCAATATTGCTGTGTACAGTGTAAACTGCAATATTGCTGTGTTGTGTACAGTGTAAACTGCAACATTTCGGTGTACAGTGTAAACTGCAATACAGGTGTACAGTGTAAACTGCAATACAGTTGTACAGTGTAAACTGCAATACTGCTGTGTAAATTGTAAACTGCAATATTACTGTGTACATTGTAAACTACAAAACAGTTGTACAGTGTAAACTGCACTACAGTTGTACAGTGTAAACTGCAATACAGTTGCACAGTTTAAACTGCAATATTGCTGTGTACAGTGTAAATTGCAACATTGCTGTGCACCATGTAATGCAAAATTGCTGTATCCAGTGTAAACTGCAATATTACGCTTGAATTGTGGCAAAGATAAAGAAGTATAATCGTTGTTGGATGATTTCTTCACTTTTACTGAGAATTGATCTCGGAAGCCTAGAACACTAATTTCTACAGGGTAATATCTACCCATAGATAAACAGCAAAGATACAAATAAACATAGAAGGCAAGAGAAGATATCAATTAAAAAGCTTCTCTTTCATTACTTGGAGGAAGAACTTTGGAAAAATAACATTTCTGGATGTAAAATTTTAAAAGAAACGAAGAAAATAAAATGAGTACTTTAAACATTTCATTTTTTATTCCGATTCTTAGAGATGGGATATTCCGGTTGGTTCTTTCAAAATTAAGGATTAAAGATGTTGGATTGTTTACATTACTTAAGGAAATAAGTCTTTGTCACAGACTCCAATTTTCTAATTCTTCTATATTTGCAACCCAGTGTCTTAGATCTTAGATGTTTCCAACTATGAATTCTGCTAGATTAAACAATCTAAGTTTAAAGCATTAAAGAAACCGAAATTAGAAATTAAATATGGGCAAAATTAAAAAAAGATAATTAAAGATATTGGTTTTAAGATGAGAACTACGAGATATAAAACAAATTGATTCATCCCTAGAACACTCGTCATCATAAAAGTTCAGCACTTTAGAACTGGATATCGTCTCAGTCAGGTTCAATCTTCTCTTAATGCTATCAGTGTGATCGATGCAGTGTCTGTTTTTGCTACAATTATCATTAAACTTATTGTTGTTTTTGATGTTGTTGTTGTTGTTGTTGTTGTTGCTAATGTTGTTGTGCTTAGAAATGTTGACTTTAATCTCGATGGAATGATCTCTAATGAGAAAGATCTCTATCTCAACGCACTGAAAAAAATATGATAATTATTCATAGAAACGTACTTAAACAATCCTACTATTTTCTTCGAAATATTGAAATATCAAAAACCCTCTATTGGGTAGAAATATTGAAATATCAAAACCCTCTATTGGGTAGAAATATTGAAATATCAAAACCCTCCATTGAGTAGAAATATTGAAATATCAAAAACCCTCGGTAAGAAAAAATCAGCTTTTCTTCAAATATCTATTTTCCTGATAAACTTTTTTTCAGTTTATATTCAAAGAAATGCTCTAGAATAAGCTTATGTATATATGTATCTAGATAAACACGAAAAAATGTAAATATTTTATATTTCTGCTTTGCAATTTAGAATTAGTTTCAGTCGATTTATTATTTGAAGATAGAAACATACAATCTGTATAGATGAGAATAGAGTATACATATATACCAGAACATAGGATAGATTATACATACATCAGAACATAGGATAGATTATACATACATCAGAACATAGGATAGATTATACATATACCAGAACATAGGATAGATTATACATATACCAGAACAAAGGATAGATTATACATATACCAGAACATAGGATAGATTTATACATATAGCAGAACATAGATAGATTTAGAGATATGTATTTCGACTCTGAGCGCTTTAACAACACTTTCTTTATGACTTTCTTCATCCCTGACTCTTTTCTGTTTGCGTATTGTTTTTTTCAAACAAACTCTTTTTTTCGTTAGTTTATTATTTTTGAGAATTGCAAATATTTCTTCCAGATTCTAAGATTTGTTTAATACGAAAACATAAGTGACGGACATTTTGAAAATTTAAAAGTTTTTTACTCGAAAATCACATTAAAAATTATTTCATCTTAGATAGAATTTGTATACAATAATACAATTTCTAGACCCTAAAGGGTTGTTTGAAAGTTATTTGGTCCCTAAAGGGCTATTTATAAGCTATTTGTAAGCTTTTTGGTCCCTAAAGGGCTATTTGCAAATAACGAGGTCACACTCACAAAGGAGAAACAGTTTTCTGCATGAAATAAACGTCTTCCATATATTTAGAATAGTAGAATAGTAGAATAGTAGAATAATAGAATAGTAGAATGATAGAATAGTATTATAGTAGAATAGTAGAATAGTAGATTTTGAAAAATTTGATCTCATGAAACTTAGGTAAATCATGTTAGTAACAAATTTTATTCACGTTTGAAGTTTTGAAATTCTTTAATGCATTTTTTAGACACAACTCTGAATCGATTTTAGTCTACTTACAAAGGAATTAAGTCTTTGTCACAAACTTTGATTTTCTAATCTTTCTAATCTCTATATCTTTTCCACCCAATGGCGTAGACCTTGTTTTTATTCTAGCTGTTAAACAGCATAGATACAAATAAACTAGTAGGGTAGTAGGATA